GTGCAGTGTGCCCCGATTTGATTTCCGGACCATGTTCTTGATACCGCGTCACTTGGCACTACGCCACCTCAGCTCAGAACTTCCAGCTAAGTATAAAGATAAAGCTTGCTGAATCTTGAAAATTTCTGAGATCTCGGCTCAGTACTGATAGGACCTTGACCGGTCTAGGATGAACCGAGTATTAAAGTAAAGTTAGGAAAAAGTTATTGGCGTTAATTGTTAATCCCGTCTGAGGAATGCGCCCCGCACTCGACTTCCGTTCAGAACCGTAGTGGCGTAATGAGTGCGTATGTAGCCTATATAATGAGTTGCGGTGTCCAGCCGATGTATAAGTCAGTGCTTTTATCCTCCCAGACGAGTCTGGCACCAGTTCACCGAACCCGGAGGCTTGGTTGGCCTAGGCGGGCATCGATCCGGGATGGACCGAGTATTACTTATCGTAATTCGGTGTCAAGCGACGAGTAAACGCTGAGAATCCTTCCAGTTGATGCTCTCCCGACAGAAAGCGCCACCTACCATCACTCAGGGTTTGTACGGTTACGCCCAAATGAGGTTCCTCACTGGGTAGCCGAGAGCCCACCGGATTCTTTGCATTTAACTAAGGAAGTTGTCTGCCTTTTATCAAAGATTCTCGGGCCGAGGATCAATTATGAGTAATCAACAGTGTGTGGAGTCCCTCTGAAGAGCTAAAGACAAATAATACCGTAGGTTGGCAAGACTGTGCGATCTTTGTAATTTTTATAGGTCAGATAAGTGAAAATGAATATTCAGCTGAGGTGTTCGAGAATAGGCGATGGAGTATTCGATCTTTGTACTGACGGGATCCAATCGCACCTCTGACACCACTACCAACCACCCCAAAGTTTCGTTTCCAATCGCTCACGCGGTTTTACCGCCAGTTTGTTTGCACTGGGTTTTGTTCATTCATTTGCAGGGTTCTTTCCAATCGAGTTTGTTTCAATCGAAAAGAACAAAGACTTTCCCTTTTCGGCTCGTTTTTTTTAAGTTGCACCGACGGGTTTTGATGAGCTGTTTTGCGTCGTGCAGACAAGCCACTCGCATTATTCATGGTGTTCGTAATTGGGCGAAGTCCAACGTCATTTTAAGGTCAAGCGCCTTCTTTGTTCATTACCCTGCACAAGTGTCTACCCAATGAAGCTTGACTCGAAAGTGTCAGAAAGTGAAATGTTGCAGCTGAAATGAACCAGCCTTAGTGAGCCAATTCTGATCATTTGTAGAGTAGTCATGATAGTAATGGCCTGCATAGGCTTGCAGAAATAATGAACTGCTCAGCTGCAAGAGATTATTCGGATTGGAGGACACCCACGGTGGGTTGACCCTTAAAATCGTCAGTACTATTGGTGATATTTAGGATATGAGCTAACTCGTTTGAGTCAGACTGCTTTCATAGTCCGCCGGCCTGCGCGCTCGCTCTCTCGCCCGCCAGCGCGTTCGCGGACTATGAAAGCAGCCTACAATATGTGCACTAACTTCACGACGAATTCAAACTGGAACTTTCAATACGTGTGAATAAACAAGCAAACAGCAGGTTGTATAAGTTTTTCAGCAAAAAAAAACTGGTTGAAAAGTTAGGCGAGGCGCAAAAAATTTCCAAGCCTGTTTGCAGGTTTTGCAAAAAAAGAGAGTCGCACGTTTTTGCAAAATTCTTGAAATTACGTCACAATGAGTACATTCTCTGCAAAAGGAAATGTTTTGATAAGATGCCACTAAAAGAGAGTAGTTGTATAAGAAAATGTTGAAGACAAAATATCACCCATTATCACCAAATATCATTCACTTAATGTTATGTTTTTGAAGGTGAATTGTTATATAAAAAGTGTACTTTTCAGCTAAGAAATGTCAGGAAGAAGTATTTTCTTCCATGATCGTTACAACGATGACATCTAGTAAAGGCTAGAGAGCTCTTTCGAATGATTAATCCCTTTTCCTGGAACAAGTCGTGCATCCGACACCTAATCAGAATCGTAGTAGCTTCGGAAAGCGTTGTGGCCTATACAATGAAATCTGGGGTCAATTTGTAAAAGTACAGGCCATTGGCTTCCACTGGGGGAGTGTCGATCCCGGATTTGATCCCCACATCATACTTGGTGAGATGCTACTCAGCACTATTAGTTCACCTCCGTTCAAGGCAATCTAATTTCCTAGGAACTCCGGAAATAGTTCCTATTACTTGAACTTAATTTGTTACTGCAAAAGCGAGCATAATCAGATAAGTGACGATACTAATGTGGTTCGTACATAGACTTGCACTGTTGCATTTCAATTATTTCCACTTGATGAATTTGATGATTTCAACTTCTCTCCATGGGTTGGCCCACACGTTCTGCTCCTATAGTCCTGGAATCGAACCCCGAATCGTTACCCACCTAGGGCAACTCAGCCTTCCATCTCTCCCGGGGTTCGATCTATTGGTACCAGGCTCGTCTGGGAGAAAAAGAGCAGTGATGTGTTCACTGGTTGACCACCGCAACTCATTGTTCAGGCCACAAAAACGTCCGCTACTACCACTCTGAGTGGAAGTCGGGTGCGGGAGCGCCCTCCAGGGAGCGGCAACGCCGGAACACCCTGAAATTTGTTCTTCGTGGTTCAATCTATGGATCCTTGATTGCATTCTATCATGGATGGATCATCTCCTTGGCACTGCCTGGAATTGAAATCCGTTTTAATTAAACTGATTGAAATTGCTGCTGCTATCCAAAGTCACATAACGTCATTTACTTGACCGAAGAGTCTATTTCGCGAACCTCGTGAGCGATTGCATCATTCCAGGTTTCTTGCACTCTTACGCATGACTCAAGCAAACCTCCTCTTCAATAATTAACGCCAATTTTTTAGTATGCAAGTGAAAACCCACGCAATTCCGCTGTCATTCTTCTCAGTTCCTTTTTCGGAGCGACAAATGTGTTATACACTCATAACGAACGAACTCATGCATAGGATATGAATCGCTCACGTAAGCTTTTTCAAGCTTGAAGTTCCTATTTAATTCAACCAGGGAAATAGAGGAGTCATTGAATGGATGAATATATAAATAATTAAAAATTAGATGAATAGCCTATCTGTTAAGTAAATGAAAAAGGATGGGCTGCAGGGGGAAAAGCCGCTTTTTCTGGAATGTCAGCCCTTGATTTGGTCAGGTACGTATCAAGTGCCTCTAGAGTTCTGAATTAATGCCGCATGTGTGGCCTATTCCACATGGAGGCTTTTCATCTCTTTAATTTCGGTTTTGATATAGACCTTTCAAATCGATTACTTTTGAGTTTGATTTATTTGATTTATTTCAAAAACATTTTTTTACGCATTATTGTTATTAAACTTAAAGCAGCAACTACAATATTGGTCATTTTTTCTGTTTCTTTTGGGATGCGCCATGTATTTTTAGCTGTAACTGGCTATGATTTGTGATTCAAGCGTTACCTATAGGCAATGGTGGAAACAGGAGCTTTCGCTCTTAGTATTTTTCTTCTGTAAGCTATAAGCTGAAACTTTTCTTCTGTTGAAAATGAGTCTCCATTTTTGGGAAGTTAGGGTAAGGGGGCCGAGTCTCACTTTTGTAGATCCATTTTTGTCTTCATGCCAACCTACCTTTGACCCTCTTTACGGCTATGACAATAAGTTCTTCTAACAAATTACCGTAGAGCCCTCACCTCCCATTTAAAAAGTGCCACAAATGTAATTATAAATTTCGAAATTCGTATTTTATTGCAGAAGTTTAGTTTCACCTTGTAATTCAACTGCCATTTCTTGCAGTAATGGCTAATTGTGATGTGAAATGCAGATGTTTCTTATTCACGTCAATCATTGCTAAATAACAAAGTCGTTTATGGGAGTAGCCACTACTAAAGCCTTGTCCATTAAGCATGCTTTGAATTTTACTACTTTTGAAGAAAACCTCGTTAAATTACGTATAGCACAATGGCCGCTGTCCATTTATAGTTAGATCGAAGTCTGCCGATCAAACATCCAACCCCATGGGGTTTCTTGCAGCAGAACAGCTCAAAGGGTTGATGTTTTCGCTTCCTTGCTGTTCATCCAGATAGGACAGCAGCATATCCCATCATCTTACCAGTCCTGATCAAATTCGATGGCATGGCGTATTCCGCGAAGATTGATGCGTGCCAAACAAATCAAAACTTTCAGAAAGATCTTTTTATTTTTCCATAGAGGAAAGACAATAACAAACACAAAAATACATACATCATATATGGAATGAGATCATCATGTGCACGCGTTTTTTCAGTTTGACGTTGCAAAAGATGAAAAGGGAGATGATTGGAGATGAATGATGATGATGATAGGATGATAGGATGATCATTAGCAAGAAGTAGAATAGATACCCGTGTTCTAATGTGCGTGTACATGTGTTTTAGGGATGTGTGCGAATAGTGGAGTAATGTACTATAGACGGCAAGACTACAGTACCAGAATATGAACCTGCACAAAGAAATCAATAAGTATCTAACACATACATATATGATGCACATATATAGGGGGAACAAATTACAAATGTATGAAGAATCCATATATGGTTATAGTGTGTGAGACCAGCAATATTTACCCAAAAGGATAGAGAGGAGAAAGGACACGGTAGAAAGGAAAATCACATACTAGTCTCTAATGATATGATTAAAAAGGCAAATCATTCAACTCGGGTTCAGGATACTGTATAGATCGGAAATGACGTGGGAACGAATCGATTGGGATCGAAAATCGGAATTTTGATCAGTCACAACAAAATTATGGAATATTTGGATGCTGACTTGCAGCAGAAATGGGCAGATTGATCAACTCTCCGGTTAAAGGTTTTGAAGGGCCTCTCTCAGCTCGACCTCAGGGAATCCAGAACTACCGTGGAGTTGATCAATCTGATCATCATTTTTGATTTATATCTATATCTAACGTATATCTCTTAAATAAACTATGTTCTACAATTCTGCAACTACTATATGACGTATACCGTATCCTATGCCTGTTCAGGACTACCAGAGATGTCGTCGATTGTGTCGATTATGACGTTTTGGAGCGTTTGTAAACATACGCATACACGTTCGGAACCTATCGGTCGAAAAACATTGAGATCTGAAAAAACGTAGATAGTTGAGCTACTCAGTCAATCAAAGGGGTGATTCCAGTAGGGAACTGTACTTACCGGCATTCGGCTCGCATATTTGGTACTTCATGGTTGGTGAATTCGTGACAGAGCTCGCAGATCTTCTCGGCAACCTCTTTCAAGGGCATATTCATCTGTGGTGAGCATTCATCACTTGGCTCCTTATCCGTGATCCGTCCCTCGGACAATGTGAGTACAACAGCAAAAAGTGGTATGAGAACAGTGTAGGAACAGAGCATTTCAATGGGTCTTCAACCTCACTGACCGAAGAGATTAACAGCAGAAGCAGTACAGAATATGGAGATCACTGACCACGTGTGAATGTAAGTGTCAGTGAAGTCAGCGTCGTATGTATGAGTGTGTGTACCTTCAGAGAAGAGGCGGCTCGTCGTCCGCTTTATATAGGGCGACGATATGGCGGAATGTTGAGAATGTTACATGCCACGCCCACTTAGGTCTCCCACCCTTTTCTCCCCTCTTAAATCGCCCTCCAAACATAACCGCAAATATGCATACGCGGATAACTATGCTGACTATTTGGAACAATCAACCCAGAAGCCCATTACCGTAACCATACTTTCAGTTACTAATCGATAATCGATCAATGAAACNGGAGGGGAACAATAGGTACCTTGTTCTGGGATGCGCCATGCATTCTACCCCAAATCAAAAACTACATAATGTTTGAATGTTGACATAGCCTACATAGTTACTTATGGGGATTGAAAAAGACATTCAGTGCTTTTATACATCGAGTCAAAGAATCAAAATAGAAAGGAAGCTGACTCAGTCCACTCAAGTTCAGGGCTCAGTTCCCCTTGCTATGATGTCATCTGTAACTGATACACCCTCTGCCCCTGTCAACTCTGGGAAGCTGGGTGATATATGCAACTTGTGACTTCACTTGATGTAATTGTGTGGCCGTCACGGAGTGTCTGAGGTGATTTGAGGGAAAGATGAAGGAGCAGTTTCGGCTTCTCCAGCTCGGTCGGTCTATCTAGGTGGAGTAGGTGCATGAGGGAAGCTCAAAATTTCTTGCACTCAAATCGCCCGTGATTAAGAATTCGTTAGAGGTAGTGGGCACGGAGATATACTTTGCGAAATATTGAGGTAGCTTTTCTAAGTCCTCTTTAAAAGTGTTTTTGAACTGTGACACTTGGACTTTTCCGACGGACTCCAGGGACCTTTCAGATGTATCTCAGTAAATTTCTGCCTTGGAAAACATTACGATATGAATAAGATTCAGTATATTATACTTGCTGGGTACGATAATTGTTGGATGACTGTCTATGACGTTAGCTCAATAGTTACGATAATTAAATATAATTGAGGAAGTAAGAGTGTATTGTCAAATTAAACAGAATAATTGAAGAGAGCTTCATGCGTAATTCCCCTTCTAATTGGAAAATCTAGAATGAGTTCTTTGATGATTTGCTCAAAACGATGACCTTGGAAAGCACCAAGGTTGCAAGAGTTCAAAATGACGTCTTCAGGCCTCAATTCCGTACTTCGGATGCGCCCTCGCTTTCGACTTCCATTCAAAATCATAGTGGCGTTTTGAATGAGTATGTGTCCTATACAAAGATATGAGGTAGCCAGCCGATGACTTATCCAAGCTCCTCTATCCTCCCAGACGAGTCTGGCTCCATCTAAACGACCATGGAGGGTACAAAGCTTCCTTGGGGCTGGGCGAGTATCGAACCGGGACCATGGGTGGGTGATACTGCGCCATTTACCACTACACCACAACAACCTCAACAGTTTGTATATATGTTCATAGTACTATTCAATTAGTCAAAAAATATGTAAATATGATTACATATGCATGGCTAATTCGTTGAGAATCAGCTGTGCATATTTATATGATTGCTTGTTTACAACAAATATTTTCACCTGATCTTGGACCAGACCTACACACTGCATACCTCAAAATTCCGAGTTATTTTTAAACTTTTTTTTCGAGTTTCTCCGACTCCTCGATCACCGTGTCACGTGTTCGTTTCGTCCCACTAACGCTGCAAAGTGAGACGCTCTGTTTTTTTTTAATCCCACTAAATTATTACATTATCAGGTATTGTTCATGTTGTATTGTTGTTCTCTTCAATTATTCTTATTGGCTATTATTGGATTTTTGAATGCAGTAGGTCTTTTCGAAAAACTCAATAGTTCTTGATGTAGAGGGGTTGTCTAGTGATGTCATATGTGGGCAGAAGTCAAAAATTAGATGAATAAAGGATAAAGACTTGGGCGTTACTCAATCCTGTCTGAAGGACACGTCCCCGACTCGACTTCCATTCAGAATCGTAAGGATGGAAAGCTTGGTAGTCTTAGGCAGATATCGATCCCAGATTGCTATCAGAAAAATGCGCTAAGAATCGTCAAACACCCATCACAATTCAGACTTATAAAATAGCGAATTCAGGGTGAACTTCGCTGTGGGTCCTGGTTACGACACGAGCCTCACCCAGGTGCCAACCATACCTTTCACTCGTGGACTTGCTCGAAACCTTTTTCGGTCCTTCGGTATTAGTGTATGTGACAGGAGCTTTGAATAGAAAAGTCACTTTGTAGAATGAACTTCAAGCTTAGGTCGTTTAACGATTCGGGATACCATTCTGAATTTCTGATAGTGCAGCATCTTGGAATTCCACGAGATTTCACAGTATTCATTATCCTCGTGAAGGAGAGATTGCTTCCGATCAAAATATTACACATAGAAGGCACTTCCGCTTGAGAATTTATTGTAGGTTGCACTTGGCAGAAGGCTTTGAAAAAATCGAATTCGATTGCAATTCTCCTGAATGTATCCTGAAAAGCCTGGGAATGGGAAATAGCCTCTTTTGGCTGTTTGCAGGTGGCATTTGAAGGTTTGTAGAACTTCTCTGCAAGAATATTTACAACTTTGAGAACGCTGGAATGGCCGAAAATCATCGTAAAACTTGAAGCTCTTTGAGAACATTAGAATTCGTGCATTTTTGCGCACAGGTCGACAATTTCCAGACTGCACGATTTGTACACACCCAAACATAGCTTACAGTAGCGATTTCGCCTGCAAAAAGATTTCATCCAATTATCAAAACTATTAATCATCGTCCACACCTTTTGTAGTTTTAGCAATCTTCGTTACCTAAGTCGTAATCTATTTTAGAAGCTACAATGTTCACTAGAATAGATTTTTGTAATACATGATTTGTAGGGTGTTTTAAAATTAGTGAAAAGAAAAAAAAGTTCTATAACACCCCGGAAATGGAATCAAATACGGCTAAGTATAGTGTATAAGAAATACTAAAATACTAGTAGATGAGGCAAGAAAGGGAATAGGAAAAAGAAGGTAAAGTTTGTAAAAAACTGGAAACATGGCGTCAAAGGTATGGAAATGGAGCTAAGCTTACACTTTTGCTCGACTACTATTCGCTTACACCTTTGTCTGAAGCATTTTTTTGAGTCTTCAATAGAGCTAACTTCGAAATTACCTATTTTGAAGCTGTGCTCTAGCTTCTAGAGATTTCCCACTTCATCCCCCAAGGTCAGGTAGTTGGTAGCAAGCTCTTCTGGGATCGTCTCAGACTTGTCTGGTAGCAACTAACCGCCTCGGGGGGGGAGGGGTTGCATTGTATTTATCAAAACTGCGAAAACTGATGATAATGCAGAATTTGTTGATGAAATCGTTTCCTGCTAGTGACTAGTTACTGGCATCGAAATTCTACCAAAGTTTCTGAGGTTTGTTATTCTCTTTCATGCCAGCTCAGGAGGTACAAACAACGGCCAAGTGCTACCCCGCCTCTGCGGAAAGTCGGATGATTGAATATTTTTTTCACTAGGTCCGCTCACTTATGTATAATTCAACATGCGTAGGCGCACTTTTCTATGCATAACGAAAAATTTGCAAATTTCTACCAACACAATGGATTGTTTATTCATTTCAACCTGCACTTTGAGCCGAAAATTGGCATTAGACGAAAAGTGTCCTGTAGAAGAAGAAGTTTTCCATATACGTCATTTCCAAGGAGCAAAAGTGATAAGGCCGAATTACAGCTACTAGAAAAGGTCACTAGGTTTATAGTCATTGCTTCCCAAACAAGTCTGATACCTCTATAAAGTAAGAGTCCGTGCAGACGAGCTTCTCAAGGTCTTCAAAGAGACTGAGAACTCAAGAAAAATTAAACATACAGCTTGAATAGTCAAATTTTTGGGTAATTTTGCTCGCTATCAGTTCTACACCTACCATGACTTTTATTCAGAGCTCATTGTCTTCTACAAAAGCAAAGTCGACATGTTCACAGAGAAAAATCAAATACACGCCATTTACTGTCTTTTTCACCTTAGAATTCAAGAGACAATGCTAACAAAGACAACAGGATGATGTAATCAGGCCAGAAAGAGCCATAGACCAGAAATAATAGCAACCCGATATTTACCTCCGCCCGAAAGGACAACCCAGCAGATATCAGCTTCCTAATCGTTAGAGTAATGGTGTATAGTTGTTTTTTATTCTTAACCATCTATGTCTATTTTATCGTTGACCTTCGTTGCAACTTGCTTTTTTTCTGTCAAAAGGTGGTCCAGTGACGATGAGTGCAAAGGGAATGAATGCAGCGTAGGTGTCCGTAGATTAAAGTACATGCTGATGTTCTCTGGAGCCTGAGAGCAGACAGCTTACGTATGACATCACCTGCCGGGCCCCCCGACACTACTACTGTTGTACTTTCTGATACAGTCAGTCTGACTATGATATGCATAAGAAATTAGAATTCGAGTTCAAAGTACCATAAAACACCTGGTCCTCCCGAGACCAGCTTCAAACTAATTTATTAATTTTTCCGCCCTGATATAGCTTGGAGCTTTCAACTGCGTTAGTGAGCACCTGAGAATCGGATCTTGAGGAAAGTTTAAATCTATTCCGCAATCGACAATTAGAGATTTGGAACTAAAAAAATCTCGCCTCATGCTCGAAAAATTGTAAAGTTCCCAGGTACTTAAGAACCAGTAATATTCCCTGAGGGTGCATTGAGCCTGAAGATGATTATTGGGTGATTTGCTTCGAGACCAATCACGGTTGAAAAAGTTCATCATGGAAAGGAATTTCGTTGAAATTCGATTCATTTCATTCCCATGTTTTTGTCACTCACCACGTTTCTGTCCCAACAAGGAGAATCCCTCTTGAACTTTCTTTCCCGAGACAGAGCTGTGTACACTTAGTCACGCTTTCCTTAATCCAAATTCTCCCGCTTTTATTGGG